ATATATATATATATATATATATATATATATATATATATATATATATATTATAGCTTTTTGTATATTACTTATCACTTTTTTTTTAAAAATCTTCTTAAACTTTTTTTACAATATTTTAAACTTGTTTTTACTACTTTTTCTAAAATATTTTAAACTTTCATACAACCTTTTTTACATACTTTCTTTATAAAAAAAAAATTCTAAAAACAGTATAATAATATAAATATTTTTGTTTATCCTTTTTTTTCGATTAAATATGTTAAAACTTTAAGGTATAAACGAAAGCATATATATTGATATATTGTTTTTAGAAATATCTTCATTTAAAAAAATTAAATAAAGTATATATAAAATGAAAGTTTAAAAAAATTATAAAAGCACATTTAAAACGTTATAAAAATGCCCTTGTAAAAAGTGTACAAAAGCAATAAACGTAAACGTAGAGGTACCATTCAATGTTCAAATGTTTATAACAAAAATTTCGTGAATTGTAGTTTATTTTAGGGAAATAAAGGTTGGGCTCGATGCCGAAGAGTAAAAATGAATCCAGTCCACTTCTACTAGACCACCACCGATCAGCATGTCCTCGCATTCTATTACCGCTGCCACGGCAGCGGCGGCCGCCGTTAAGCAACTGTTATTTCATCCTTCATTCACCTTATCGCCGTTGCATTGCTACCGCCGCCAAATTTCCTCTTCCCTTCTCGCAGTCGCCAGTTATTCCACTACCTTATCTGCTTCTACTCGTAACAAGAAAAAGCTAAACAGAAAAGATAATTCCGTTACCGGTACTAGTCGTAGAGTTCTAATAGATTCTGTAGTGAAGAGGAGGACTCGGTCGGATAAAAAGTTTGATGAGGAGAGCTTTCGTCAATTTGGTGACACCGAGAGTCATATTCCGGTGATGCTAGGTGAGGTATTGGAGGTTTTTGATTCTCTCAAGCTTCAGACGTTTGTCGATTGTACCCTTGGAGCCGCCGGACATTCATCCGCCGTATGTGAATCTGATTCCCCCTTTCTCTATTTTTTATTACATGCTTGATTTTCGAATTCATTTTGTTGTTATTTGGTCAAGGATCCTTTGATAATGTGTAGCCCTGGAATTTGGAAAAGGGTTTTGTCGATTGTACTCGTGTCTTTTGGGTCTGATGTTAATTTCTTGTGCTGGAGCTAACAGATAATTCAGGCTCATCCCGAGATGCAGTCATATGTTGGACTGGATTTTGATCCTGTTGCCCATGAAAAAGCAAAAGCCAGGATTGATTCGATCCAAAGTTCCATGTCCCATGACTCGACTTCCAACCTAAAAACACATACCTTTTTGCGAAATTTCAAGAACATCAAGTCCACAATATCTGAGGTAGATGAGAAGCTTCTGACTTCAGGAATTGATGGGATCCTAATGGACTTGGGAATGTCATCCATGCAGGTATGTAAACTGTTAACCATTTCACACATGTAAAGATCCATGACCTTCAATATTAATGTTTTACAAGTATATATATGCAGGTGAACAATGCTAAAAGAGGATTTAGTGTGCTTTGTGATGGACCCCTTGATATGAGAATGGATCCCCAGGTGAGAATCAGAATTAGCATATGTAATTAATTAATTAATCATTGTCTATATATCTTGTTCGTTTAACTGATTAGAACAGGCATATTACTATTACTATTATAGGCAAGTTTGACAGCTGAAGACATACTAAATTTATGGCCAGAGGCTGAAGTGGGACGAATTTTACGTGATTATGGGGAAGAGAACAATTGGCGTGCACTTCAGAAGAGGATTGTTAAGGCCCGATTAACTGGTGGATTGCATTCTACTAGTGATCTAGTAGATCTTATAAGGAGTTGTACATCTGGTGGAAAAGGTGAGTTCAATTGTTACAATCTGTTTGGTGTGATGGAATGGAATCAAACAGGAATGAGAATGAGTAATGTATTTGTATTTGTTACAGGAGGGAGGCAAGGTTGGATAAAGACAGCAACAAGAGTGTTCCAGGCTTTAAGAATTGCTGTTAATGATGAACTCAAGACACTCGAGGCTTCGTTATATGATTGTTTCAGGTGTCTTGCACCCGGTGGGAGGCTTGCTGTTATATCTTTTCACAGTCTGGAGGACAGAATCGTAAAACAAACATTTCTCGATATCATCAAAAGCAATTCAGTTGATGGAAGTGGAAGCGCGTCCCCTGATCTGAAAAATGTTGAAAACGAGCCATGGATCAAACAGATGATTGGAGGTGTTGGTGGGACAATCCTTACAAAAAGACCCATAACACCCTCTCAAGATGAAGAGAAACTCAATGTTCGCTGTAGGAGCGCTAAGCTCAGGGTAATACAAAGGGATTGAAGCAAGATAGATCCCTTTGTAGGCACCATGTGATGGTGACTCATACATTTAAGTATCTGTCAGACACACACATACATGATGTGATGTGTCTGATACATACAATATGCAGTATGTGTCAGGCACGTTAATATTAACGTGCCTGATACATCAGGATCTACAAAATGTCTATTTGAGTACTAACCAGCTGGTGATACTTTGATCGGTTAGGTATTTGTGATTGGAATGTCATCTATTTGAGTTATAAATAGAGACTATCGTTTTTGTAGAATGCATAGAATATGTTTCTAGAAAGTATTTAGAGGCTTGGAAACGGCTTTGTTTGTATGGACTTGTAAAGAGCGCGATAAGCTTTGGAATGGTCGTTGGCTTATTTTCTGTTTACACTATATAATATATTTACTTGGTTTATATGTGTTGAACCAACTATGGTTTCTTGCGAAAATGTTGTAAAATTGTTATGGTTTCTAAGAATGAAAATTTTAAATAGATTAAGAAAGTCTTTAATAAATTACTTCAGTTCAAATACATGTAATCGTTACCGATATTTACTTCAAAAATGTATATTTGTAAATTATTAGTGTAAAATATAAAATAAAATAAAACTTTTTTTTTCGTTGAAGATACATATATATGTGCTTTTTATTATTTGTATTTGATTATAAATCAATTATTTTAAATTTATGTCGAATAATTTTTAAATGAACTTAAAGAAGTATAGCATTTTTTTTTAATTTC